GCGGGGCAGGGAGCCCGATGTGGGGACTCGATCCCAGGACCCTGGGATCATGACCTGAGCCGAAGGCAGACGCTTAACGACTGAGCCACCCAGGCACTCGGTTCCACTGATATTTATTAAGCATTGACTCCATACGCTCATGGAGCTGACAAGTAAAAAGAAATAGATAAATCATGTCGAATTGGGTGCTGTAAGAAAACGTTGGGACCCGAGTGTTAAGGACTCTGAGTGGGTAGGGTGGAGCGCTTCCTAGGGAGAGGAAGATGTAAAATGCAAGGTCTCTGAGACATGGGAATTGGTATGTTTGAGAGACAGGAAAAGAAAAGACACAATATTTGATTCTGGAGACAGAATCCAGAGGTGCCGGTTCCAAGAATGAAGCCTCTGCCCTAGACATTTTCCCAGTTCTTTTCTTTCCAGCACACTGTTTTCTACGAGGAGAAAAACCAGCTTGGGCTTTGGCATCTCGCTTAAGTGGATGGTGAGGAGGGGCATGGCGATAAGAGGGGTCGGTGGGGAATGAAGCAGAGGAACACAGAGAGGAAACAGAGGGCCATGTTAATCTGTGGTCACAGATCCCAAGCCAAGGGCAGAATATGCATCATTTGGGAGCTGGTACTTGAAAAAGGGACTCAAGAACTCCCCTATTGCATTTTCCCATCGGACAGCCCCAGGCAAGCCAGGAAGGCCATTGCTGGTCACTCACGCCTCCTTCTCATCTATTTGTTTATTTAAAGCATGAAGCCAAAATCAAATCCCTGACAGACTACATGCAGAACATGGAACAGAAGAGGAGGCAGCTGGAAGAGTCCCAAGACTCGCTCAGTGAAGAGCTGGCCAAACTCCGAGCCCAAGGTAAATAGTTGACTACTTTGCAGGTATTGAGCTCTTGGCCTACATCACACTCTCTAGTTGGCCGAACTCATGATGTTTAGTTTTGCTCAATTATACGCTTTCTAGATCTGCTGAAAATAATGGAATAATTGGGGGGGGGGTTAAAAAAAGAAAAAAGAAATATCTAGAAGATTGCCCCCACCCAAAATCTACTCCTCTTCCCACTTTCCTTCAGTCTACCCTATTGCCTGAGTCAGAATCTTCTCTCTTCCACCTCCTGCCTCCAGTCTGTCCCCATGACCTGTCCATTGGACCTGCCAGACGCTTGTCTGGGATGTTAACAGAACATGTGCTTTGTTTTGGAGATGAAGTACGTGCAGGCTGTGGGGCCATGCTTACAAGGCGTCCTTAGATTAAAGGTCATAATATGTAACCTTATCTTTACTGTGGTTATAACATTTAGGAATCAATGGATACTTGTGTTCCAAGGCCTACAGATTAATATTTGAAATGAAAATGGTTTTGATAGGGAGTAGGATTGGTGATGATGTCACCCTTTTTTATTTCTTTTATTGTTAATATAGTTACTTGCTCAGTAAATACATTTGTTTCAAATGCCAAGGCAAATTGAGAAGGATCGAGAACATCCTTACCCCCGCTATGACCTTGTCATGTTTTCTTTATGTGATAATGGATGAATGTTAGAGATAGCATGCTCCCCTTAAGACTTGACATGGAAAGGAACTTTTCTCTCTTGTAAATGGCTTCTGCAGTGGTGCCACGAAGTAGAAACAAAATAGAGGTGAGAAGATCTGAAATAAAGTAGAACAGACTAGCTAGAAAGCGTAATGACTTGAGTGACCATTTTGCTACCGCCTCCCCCCGCCCCAGCCTGCTGCTTGCTCCGTGTGCCCAGTGAGTACCCCTCGTCAAGAATAGGCTGGGACAGGCTCTCCCTGGAGGTGTGCCACGCACCAACTATGGGGGCCTTCCTGTTTAATCTGGACAGTGTTATTTTATATTTCTGTTTTCTTTGTTCTTGTCCTTAGATTTTGTTTTCCTGCTCTAGATTCTTAGAGAATAAACAGCGTACCCATGGGAGGTAAATTAGCTCTTTCTGGAACTCCAATAGTGGCATGCATCCGAATGCCACTGACATTCACAGAGTGCTTTCTAATCTGCAAGGCAGGTTACTGTAAACCGCCTCAGGCGCTGCTCACCGAGGCCAGGGGCGAGGTCGGACACAGCCGGGGCAGTTCTGACCTCGAGTGGCCCACTCCCAGGTCAGCACCACTCCCCCTCCCGCCGCCCCTCCCGCTGGAGTGGGCAGCCTCCGTGGGTCAGAAGTCTCCCCCGGGAGGCCCCATCTTGGATAGCATGGTTGTAATTGGTCATGTAAGCTCATGTTTCACTCCGTGGCCTTTCTTCCTTTTTTTTGGTCTTTTATCTTTTTTAAAAATATGTTTACTTTTGGATGTGAGTCCCGCCCGTTAAATCTTCAATCACATTTAAAATTCAAAACAGAAAAAATGCACGAAGTCAGCTTCCAGGATAAGGAGAAGGAGCATCTGACGCGACTGCAGGACGCGGAAGAGATGAAGGTGTGTACGCCGCCCCTTCCCCGGAGCCCGGCGTGCGTTTGGACTGCGTTTTCTTATTCTAGGAAAATCTGTCTCCTTCGGAGACGTGTGGGGCAGTGTAGGAGGGACGGGGGAGGGACCAGTGCCCGGCAGGCAGAGCGGTTCTCACAGTGCGGCCTGGCCCAGGACTGAGAGGAGGACGGAGGTGTCCAGAAGCCCTGAGAGGTCTGTAGCTAGTAGGCATGCTGCATGAGTCCGGGCTTCCTCCCTGTTCCTGGGGGAGGGGAAGGAGCAGCCCCTCCCAGTCGCCGCATGGGCCACACCGCCGAGCTGAACTTCTGAGGAAGCATTTGCCCTTCCTGTGAATGAAAGAACATCTCTCCCCTCGACCTTTTTAAAGAAGCACTCCAGATTTGGATTTCCATTGTACACATAGAGAGGTTTATTTTTGGTCACATGTAAAGTAGTGAAGGACAATGTAGGAAAAATGATTGGGAAATAAGATTTTTAGGTGAATAAAATGAGATATGAGAGGATGTAAGAATTTTGATTCATTTTAGGCAAACCCACAAGTCCCTGTGGGTGTAAGCCCATAGGTAGAAGAGTGCCCATGGCATGAGCCTGCTCCAGCCTCACCTTGATGGGCCCTCCTCCTGGTTTCACATTGCTTCGGTGGAAAGGTCTCTGAATATCACCATAAATCTGTGCAGTGCTCAGGGCAGGGACAATTCCCTAAATTTTACAGGTGAGGAAGTGTGGCTCACACGGGTTACGTGGCTTGTCTACGGGCACCTGGGTGTAGTAAGAGGTCTGCCCTCTGATTGACCTGGTGAGAGAAGCCATGTGGCTCAGGTGAGCTGTAGAAGGTCACAGGAGAGCTTTTTATATAATTAATGGGCTGATCTAGCTCCTAGGGCCCGCTGGGTTTTATCACAGATCTTTGGGTTTTGTTGTGCCAGTAAAGAAAGCAAGGTGGGTTCTGGGGGCCCCAGTTTTGGGACTTGACAGCCAAGGGATGTAGGGTAGGAGGTAGAAGCAATCCAGGGCTTGTCATGGTATGGGCTGTGAGCCAACGAGCCGGTGACACATTTCTCTTGGCCTGGCTTGCAGAAGGCCCTGGAGCAGCAGATGGAGAGCCACCGGGAAGCTCACCAGAAGCAGCTGTCCAGACTTCGGGATGAAATCGAGGAGAAGCAGAAAATCATCGATGAGATTCGGGAGTGAGTTGGCCCAGGGGCTCTTGGGACAGGGGGGTGGGCATGGCTCTCGGGGCAGCCTGGAAGGACGTGGCTTTGAGCTGAGGGCTGCTGTCCTCGCCCTGCGAGCTCTGTGCTCTGCCCTGTGCGCAGCAGGCTAGACGTGCAGCTTCCGACGTCTCTTCTCCCATCTGGAGCTGAGCCTCTGGGGGCTTTGGTGGGGCAGGCGGCAGGCGGGTGCAGCCGCCCTTCCTCGTCCCCCGGGAGCCGGGGTCATGTTGGTGACACATGCCCTGGTAGGTGGAGACAGTCTGTAGGAAAATATATACCAAAAAAAAAACAAAAACAAAAAACAACCCAAACCCTACATTGGGCCTGACTCAGGGATTCTGATAGGCTAATAAATACTCCAGAGAAGACAGTCAGCTCCTGCTGCGTTCTCACCCCAACACCTAAATGCTCCCCGCACAACCCTGAGCCACCTGGTCACCTGCACACACTTCTCAGGGCCCCGTGTCTGCTCGTGGACCTGTGGCTTTGCCAGGATGGCTCCCTTGCAGCTTGCCTCTGGTATCACCCCCCGCAGGGCCATTCTCCCGTCCCGTCACAGCCACTGAAGAACCCCTGCTCCATAATGACCTCTCCCCTCCTTCTCTCTGACCTTCCCGCCTCATTGTCAAAACAAGGCAGCAAGCTGGGGAGTGCCTTCTGGATCCTCTCCTTGAGGGTTCTTACATTTTTGCACAGTGAGTGCCTTGGCAATCTTTGAACCTCTTTGCAGAATAATGTTTTTAATTGCCCCCAAATAAAAGATGAGGGAAAATGAAGAAAACCAGTTATGTTGAAACACAGTTCCATCCACTAACACCCCCACCCTCATCCCCAAGATCTAGACTAAAGCCTCCCTCCGCTCCCACTTTCTGTAGATGAAGAGCCAGATTTCTGTATGGGGAAGCAAGGCAAGGTTAAATGAGTTTCTTAGGGTCACACGGCTACGTAGGAATCAACCTGGAGTTAAGAGTTTAATTCTCCAGGCTACTGATCCAAATCTCTCTTCACTGTGGGCAAGCTGCTCACACAGCACATTTGCATTTTGAAAGAGGAGAACGGTAACGAAGCAAAGTGTAAGTGCTGTGATCTGGGCTCCGTGCTCACTGCCTACCAAAGGCAAGTCCTTAGCATCGTCTTTGCCCCCCTCCTTTTGGGCCACCCCCATGCAGTTATTCATGTTGTTCTTTCCCCTTCAAGCGTGTCCTGCGTTCTTTATTCTGATTAATCACCCTCGACATGTTCAACTGGAGGGGGACAGCGGGGAGGGAAGGAGGGAGGGTTGGTGAATGAGTTAGTAGATGGAGAAGTTTCCTTGGCCTGCGCTTTCAAACAGACTCTGGGCTTTCCTTCAGAGAGTGTAGAATCTGTTCCTTTACGGATGCACAGGTAGGGCCATACAAAATGTTTTATAAATACTGCATGCAAATGTTGACCAAGTGCCCCCAACCAGATGGCAAATTTCTTTTTTTGCCTCAGACCCTGGGCTTTCTTTGTATTTCCTCTCTCTGTACCCACTCCTTGTAGACTTCACACAGTGGCATTGTCCCTGTGTCAGCCAGGAATTTGGACTTAGGGGATGTTTTCAGATCATCAGACCAGAGAGGAAGGGATGGGTGAAATGGCCAAATAAGATTTCCTGAGTGGGTGCGTGCCGTCTGTAGGGCAGGCAAAGCAGAATTCTTCTGACCGTGCTCTCTGTTTTAAAATATCAGCCCTTTTCCTAGCTCATTATTTTCCCCCCAAAGCTCTTGCACAAGCCAACTATAAATATAGTCTCAAAGCCTTATGTTTCATGCCTCTGAGATGTTCCCAGAAATTAGTTTTCACTTGGGCAGGGAGGAAGCTGTGAGGTTGTTCTCTGATCCCTCAAAATCCTCCAGAATTGCCATGTTTATTGCACAGAACTAATGGGGTTGGAACAGAACCATGTCTTTAGCTGGGTGCCTCGGAATTTCAGACTCATGTGCAATGTATTGCTTTTTCCCCTCAATTTCAGTTTGAATCAGAAGCTGCAACTGGAACAGGAGAAGCTCAGTTCTGATTATAACAAGCTGAAGGTAGAGGACCAGGAGAGGGAAATGAAACTGGAAAAGCTCTTGTGAGTGCACCTGAAATATTTCCTCTGTTTCTCTCCTCCCCACGGAGTCTTAGGGAAGTCTACCTCTGTGATTCCGATTCCTAAATATTCTGGTTAGGTTGGGCCAATGTAAAAATAGAGCCTATTTCTGTGAGACAGTTAGTTTTATTGATTCATCCATAGGTGCAAATGGTATCTGGAAATCTCTGATGCCCCTTTGGTGGTTCATGATCCCTTTTTGTTTTTTAGATTGCTCAATGATAAAAGGGAACAAGCCAGAGAGGACCTCAAAGGGCTGGAGGAGACAGTGGTACGTCAGCATGTTTCTCAACTCGTTTTAGTCCCAAAGACCCGATTAGTTTGTGATTTGTGGAATTTGTGTGTTCTGAAACTTGTTCTGTGCCCACCTTTCTCACATACCATTTTAGACAAAATATTTAGGCAAATACCACATAGTTAGACATTAAGACAAATACAAATATTTAGACACATCATTTAGACAAAATATCCCATGGAAAAGTGAGAATTGTAGAATTTATTCCCCAGCTCTTGATACCATGATTAGTTGTCAGTCCATCTGTCCGTCCGTCCGTCCATCCATCCATCCATCCATCCATCCATCCATGCTTAGTGCTGTAACCAGAGGCCCTGAGTGAGAATTAAACTGACTTGCAGATCAATGCCTGAAACTTTACCGACTTTGCACATTGTGACTTATTTCCATTCAATATTCAAGAACACCTGCTAAGGGCTGACGTTCTTCTAGGTGCTTGGGTTGTATCAATAAATGACAAAGACAAGACCCTGGCCCTTGTGGAAGCTTGCCTTTAGCTGGGGGTGAGGGGACAGACAGTGAACAATAAGGAAGGAAATCATGACCTCTATTACATGGTTATAGAAAGTGCAGAGGTCCCACAAGGAGGTGATGTTTGAGCAGGGACTTGAAGCAGGTGAAAGAGAAGCCATGGGGATGTCTGGGGGAAGGGCCTTCCAAGCAGCGGCAATAGCCTATGTCAAGGCCCTGAGGTGAGCCAGGGGTTGGCATGTTGGAGAATAGCAGGAAAGTTAGCGATGCAGGAAGGAAACAAGAGGTAGGCACAGAAAGGTCAAGGCAAGAGTGGTTGTAGACCAGGTAGGGCCTTGAGACCCGCAGGTTTTGGGACACCAGAGTGACAGATCAAAAGGGCTCATCATTTGAAATCCTGGTTTCTCCATCCTACATCTGAATTCATGAGGTTTGTCTGCTCTGGTTGACTTCCATTTCCGCTGCTCTGAGGGCTCTTGAGAGTCCTGCAAAGTGCCACACAGCCTGTGTTTGAAGACAGACTGTCCCTACAGAACCTCTCAATTTGGTGAAAACATGTCCGGTTATTTTACATGATAAAATGACAGACTGTTGTTTAGATACAGTCATACATTTTTTTTTTTTAAGATTTATTTATTTATTTATTTGAGAGAGAGTGAGAACACATGCACACAAGTGGGGGTAGGGGCAGAGGGAGAGAGAATCCTCAAGCAGACTCCATGCTGAGCACGGAGCTCCATTTCAGGACCCTGAGATCATGACCTGAGCCAAAATCAAGAGTTAGCCACTTAACCTACTGAGCCACCCAGGTGGCCCAATATAGTCATACATTTTGATTCCATTCATGTGTCATGTGAATTTATGTGGGACCATGCGTCCCAAGAATCTGGTGACTCCAGGCTGTAGGTACATTGTTGCTTAGGGCCGGACCTGATTGTGCACTCTGTTTCCTGGGCTGATGTTAGCTGCCCCTCAAAGCCGGTGGAGAGACGGAGGGGACCGTCCACTCAGGACAGAAGTAAGATGACTGTGGCTCAAAGGATCTCTGGCCTTTCCAACATGGTGGAGAAGGTGGCTCCAGGGGAAACCGAAATGAAGCCATGAAGCTGCCTCATCTATGTCTGTTTTACCGGAGAAGTGACACCCACAGTCACAGATGATTCTAAAAATTCAGACAAATATTGAACTTTAAAATTCCCACTAGCCAGAGATGAGTGACATTTCAGTACCTTCCACCCATGAACCACCGTCCCTGCCCCCTCTCACCCACACACTCGCCCACAGGGACAGACCCACTGACACACTGGCTCCCTTTCTCTCTCCTGCTCTCACTCACCACTCACACACATCGCACACATCCACACGTGAAACCCCAAATCGGATCCCCACAGCATGTGTCATTTTAGGCTTGGATGTTTTCACTTAACCTGCTGTTGGAATCCTCCCCAAGCTATAATGTTTTTCAGCAACAGGCTCGCTTGGCCTTGGCTGACCTTACTTGAACTCTCCTTAGCTTAGCTCAAGGGCTCTTCTGGCTTCTTGAGTATTTGGGTGGGATGGGGGGTGAAACCTACCGTGTAGGGGTTGGAGCCTTAAGCCCACTCCAGGGGTTGACGTTGGAAGATGTTGAGGGTGTCTTGGGGCCCTTGGGCAACCATCTTTTGCTTTAACAGGACCCTTTGGGCTCTGGGGCTGGACCTCTCCTGCTGTGTTAATGGGCCTTGGGTTTTCACCTCTCTGGGCTCACCCTCGCTGTCCCCTGTGACAGGAAGCTGAGCCCTGAGCTTTTACACAGAGGAGAGTGGCCTGTGACAGGGAAGGTTTCAGGGAAGTGAGTCAGGTGGAGTGAGGAAATGATGATATCGTGGAGGAAAATTCATTGCTGCGGGAAGCCAAATGCTAGCTGCCTAAGCTTAAACATGCAACTTGCAAACTGTTTTAAAGGTTTTTTTTTTTTTTTTAAAGATTTTATTTACTCATTTGACAGAGAGAGATACAGCGAGAGAGGGAACACAAGCAGGGGGAGTGGGAGAGGGAGAAGCAGACTCCCCCCTGAGCAGGGAGCCCGATGCGGGGCTCGATCCCAGGACCCTGGGACCATGACCTGAGCCGAAGGCAGACGCTTAACGACTGAGCCACCTAGGCACCCCTTAAAGGTTTTTAACCACCCCTCCTGAATTGCTGAATTCACCTAAGAACAAACAAAAATGAGAAAGGTGCCAAACTCAGGACTCTGTAGTATTTGGTATTTAGGCCCCGAGGAAATGCCTGGCCCTTTGACAAGGGACCCATGTCTCCTCATTTCCCTTTGGTGTGGTGGCTTTTTTATGGAAAAGGTTTACTATGGGTGCAGTTCAGTCAGGAATAAAATCCCTGAAGCAGGAGAGAGAGAGAACATGCAGAGCAAGGGCTTGGGCTGGGGGGGGGTTGGTGCCGAGATCCTTGGGCAGGGGGCCTGAACAACATGTCTGTAAATGTGAGCTCAGAGCTCACCCCTGCATCTGCCCTGGAAGGCGGCTAGGCCTCGGACAGGTGCGATGTGCATTGTGTTCATAATAACAGGCCTGTTTGGCTTCCTGCACAAAGTCATTTGCCTCATCTGAGGAAGCAATTGACTTTAGGTGCCTCTTATTTCAACACAGAATTGCAGACTTGGACCCAGTTAGCAAGACCTTAAATTAACAGAGAACTTTTATTCCAAGAAACTTAGTGTTTCCATGGTTGTATAGCCATTTCTTCTTCCTGTGAGCACATGCAGGCTGAATCCCTTGACATTCTGTGTTAAGAGTAGGTCAACTTAGACAAATTGAGAAATTCAAATGCAAGTTTCTCTCTCTCCTCCCTCACGGGAAAATATCTTGCAAGGAACTAATCCTATCTCTGATAGTAAGAACATGGAGACTTGAATGGGAGGAATTATTTTGGTTTTCTGATCTTGTTAACAAAGGTCACCAGGTTTGACTCAGAGCCTTGTCTTCACAATCTAATTCCTAAAGTTAGTTCATTTGTAGAAAATAATACAAAATGAAGAAAAAAATACCCCCAAGAAGTTAATTACAACATAACAATATTATGACAACAAAGGGAAACAACAAAAGCCTACTGAAGAAATGGCTGTCAAATATGGTGCATCAATAAGTTAATATTAGCCAGGGTTTACTGAGCACTTACAATGTGCCAGGAACGGCTGTAAGACTTTTATAAGGATTACTGCATTTAATCTCGACAACAACTGTGAGTCAACGACTATTTATCCTCCTGTTACAAATACGAGAGCTGAGGCACTGGAAGGTTAGGTAGGTTGCCTAGGGTTACATGGGTATAAGGCCCACCACCTGCTTCATCCACAAGCTCAGTGATGTAAAGCCAACGCACATGGCCCAGGGCTAGAAGGGGGCGTGGAAATAGGAAAAATGTCGGTCTGCTAGGATGGGAGAGATTGTGGGTAACTTTCCGTTTAGACTTGCCGGCATTTTGTGTAATGTGTACGTGATAAATTAGAGGAAAAAAGAATCCATTCTGGTACAACATAGCCAACTAGGAATTTTTGTGAGAAAAAGTGTTAACTTTTGTGGTTGAGGGGTGAGAAAAAGTTCTATTGAGAACACTGCTAATGAGTAGGCTCTGTTCTAGTTTAGTTCATGGTTTGAGCTCCCAGTCTCTGCCCTCAGGGCAGTCTTGAGACAGGTGGAGGGGTGGACATATGTGGTAGGAAAGCCAGGGGAACTGTGGGAGCCCCGTGGCCTGGATGGTAGGCTCGCAGAGCAGGTGGGAACCACCTGGGTCGCTGGGGCAACCAGATGGGGATGGTCTGGTGTCCGATGTGTCCCAAATTCAAGGTGTCTCCCCCACTTCAGTGTCATTTTCACAATCTTCCCTTCCAGTCTCGGGAGCTGCAGACTCTGCATAACCTCCGGAAACTCTTTGTCCAGGATCTGACTGCCCGGGTTAAAAAGGTGCGTTCTATTTTGTGTGAACACTACTGAGAAGAAAAGGAAGATGGACAGAAAGAATCATTTGCTGCTGAAATATCACTTGCTTAAATTGGGGCTGGTTGTGCTTAAAAATTAATTACTTCAGGCCAGAAAATGTATTCAAAGAATGTACTGGGGGCAAAAAAAAAGTACTTGGGAATATTTTTCCATCTGCTTTTTTCTTCTTAGTAAAAGGAAGTTATAATCCTCTCCCTGGCCTTTCATTTCAAATGAGCACACACCTATCTAGCCGCAGTGTGAGAGCTGTTGTGCATGATGTGGGGAAAATCCAGGGGGTCTGGTCAGGCATTGCTGCCCTGAAGCTTGGTGAGCAATGCCAGAAACCCAGAGAAATTAGAGGCAGGAGCCTCCCGTTTGCCCGTGAGGGGCCGTTCGGGGCTGGGTCGGAGTGTATGAAGCACTTCAGTGTGCGTCTTATTTGCTCTTCCTGGCAACCTCGTGTAAGTGGTTCTTACTGTGCAGTTCTGTCTTAATGGCGGTAGGCTCAGAGGTTAAGTAACTTGCCCAAGGTCACACAGCTGGAAGAGCTGGAGGTAGGATGGAATCCAGGTCGTGTGACTTCTGAATCTGGGCTTCGGTGATCCTCGTGCCTCACACAGTGATCTCAGGGAGTCACCGTATAGCGAATCCCAGAGCAGCTTGCAGAAGTTTCAGGAAGGAGGGAGAGGTGGGGGCGGCAGGGGGACTGCTCTTTAAATATGTTTAAACATGATAGAGGACGAGCAATGGGCCATAGCCAGCTGTGTAGTAGGATGGAAGGAAGGTGTATTTAGAAGTATGCACATGTGTGCCTATGTGTCTGTGTGAAGGAACCGGAACCAAGGGAAGGAGGTGAAATATATATATAAAAAAAAGAGAGGGTTGATGGAGTCAGATCTGAGCGGGACAGAATTAATAGCATAGATGGATGTATCAGCTTGGTAAGGGGAAGGGATACAATTTCCCAGAGAGGAGTAGTGGAGAGTTGAGATGGAGACGTGTGCAGGACAATACATAACCGTGGAAAGGTGCATCTGACGACTTTGATCTTCTCAGTTAATGTGGAGGCTCTGTCCTTGATGGAGAAGGAAGAGAGACAGTGGAGAGCCCACAGAGCCTAGAGAAAGCTCAGGCAGCCCGGGGTGCGGGGCGGGAGGGGCGGATTTGTCAGGGATGAGTGAAAGGATTGCCGAGCAGTGGTGCGAGTGTCCAGCTGAAGGTCAGAGCATGGATTTGCCGTGGCCCCTGACAACATGGTTCCAGGCCTGGAAACAAAAATAAAGAAAGGCAAGAATGATAGGAGAGTTTAAGGCCCAAATGGCAGTGGTGGGGCAGGTAGGTAGTGACCATAGTTATCAAAATAGAAATGGCCATCAGACCTGGACCAGGTAGGAGGGAGAGGCCAGAGCAGAGGGGATGGAGAGGGAGACTGCAGAGATAATGGCAAGAACTGGAAAAGCTCAGTCAGGGAGGAGAGGGTCCGAGGGAGCTTAAGATCAGGCTTCCCTGATTTCATGATCTAAAACTCTCAAGAAAGGACCTACTTGTAGACCAGTGGCTCTCAAAGTGTGGTTATCTGGCCAGCAGCTTTGGCATCACCGGCTAGACATGTGCATTCTCAGACCCACCCCAGGTCCACTGAAGCAGAGACTGGGGGTGGGGCCCAGCAATCTGAGTTTTAACAAACCCTCCTCTGGGCAAAGTTTGAGAACCCCGGATTGAGATAGGCATGCAGCCATCACCTCTCAGAAGAAGAAGGAGGGACGATGGTCTCCTCTGTAATCAGACGCAGCAAGGATGCCTTGCCATTTTTGGGCTCCAGGATGTGTTTGCACATGTGTTTCTCAGTTTACCTGTTGGCCCAGGAGGGCAGTTTTTGTCCATTTCTAGATCTGATGAATTTCAAGAGTTTATCCATGCGCTCAGATGCTGTGACTAGTTTGAGATGGATTCATTAAGTAATTTCATGGGATTGGAAGCTGCAGGGACAAGCAAAGGCCACTGAGACTTCCTGTTGGGACCACAGGCACTCGCCCAACAGCTTGGTGACTTATCTCAGTTGGGATGTTTGAAATCAGATTTAGGTCTTGGATTTATGTTTTCACACTGGTTCTTAATGAGTTTTGGAACAGTTCCTTTTGAAAAGAAAAGTCTATTTACCCACCTGCAAGGGAGAGGTAAATTTCACAGAGAGAACTAATCTGTATCTTTCAAAGGAAGATTGGAAGTTTTGTTTGGTTTTGTTTTGTTTTCAATTCTCTAAACTATAATGCTCGGAAAACCCTTGACATCAGCCAAGGGAATTCATTGGGAAGGTCATTGAGTCTCAACTTGTAGAACCTCTGTTTATTTTCACTTTCAGAATGACCTTTGGTGGGATTGGGGTGGTGGTTTTTTATAAAGAATTAGAATGTTGTCCAGCTTATGTTGGGGCTGTGGGCGGGGCTGCCTGCTGACCGCTGGTGTTGGTGCAGAGTGTGGAGCTGGACAGCGATGATGGAGGGGGCAGTGCTGCCCAGAAGCAGAAAATTTCCTTCCTGGAGAATAACCTGGAGCAGCTCACGAAGGTTCACAAACAGGTAGGAGAGTTGTGCCAACTTCCTCTGCTTCTCTTACTCTCCCGGAAAGAAGCTCCACTGTATCTGGCCACAGTTCGGGGAGAAGGTTCTGCATCACCAGGGGACATTAGTGCCAGAAGGATCTTGGAGTCCTTTAATTAGTCTTCAGTGACTTCCCTTATATATAAAAGTTTTTTATCGAAGCCAGATGGAAGGAATCGGAGTTTGAGCTCTTGGGGTTTGGGAAGTGGGGTGTTCAGAACCCTGCCTTATCATCCTGCCTCTGGTTCTAGCCCTGGACCCACAGGCTGCACAGAATGCAAAGTGAAGACCACCGAGTCAGTTCAGGCCCCTTATTTTTGCAGATGAAGAAACAGACCGAGAGAGGAAGTGACCTGCTTTATTTTCTCTCTGCTCTGTTTCCCTATTTCTTGGGCACCCTCTCCAGTTCTTAAGACGCTCTGGAGTTTATCCAGAGGGACAGCAGAATGCATGGCCAAACCTACTGGTGATCTGGGCAGTTGTTTTTCTCCTTTCTGTATAACTACTGGAATGTTCATGTTTCCCCTAAATCCTAAAGATTTGGAATGTGATAAAAATGGTCCAACTTAGGGTATGTGCTATGGTGAGCGCTGTGAATTGTGTAAGACCGATGAATCACAGACCTGTACCCCTGAAACAAATAATACAGTATATGTTAATTAAAAAAAAAAATGGTCCAACTTGTTGGACCACATGGTTAAGGGGATGCATCTCTCTTGGACCTATATCCTCTTCAACATTACCTAGGATGGCATTTTTCCCCAAAGGGAGGACGACAGATTCAACATGGTTGAAGTCATTCAAGCAAATTACTGATGAGAAATATAGAAGCAGAAACTGCAGTCTGAGTTGCAATTAGTGATTTTCTAATTCACTAATTTGAAATAGGGCTCTGAAATTCATTATTTTATGAATTCAATGAATATTTTAATAAATATTAAAAACCTGCTCTCTGCCAGGCACTGGAGCTGGTAAAGAATGCACGTGTGGCCTCGGGATGGGTAACCTTCATACATCACTTTCTGATTTTCAAAACTTTTCTGGATCCACTGGGATTCACACAATGGGCCTCTTATATACTCCCCTTTTTTATGGGTGAGAAACCTGAGATGTGTAGGGGTTGGATGACTTACCAAGTCAGATGTCAGGAAGTAATAGATCTGGCTCTTGAGCCTTTTTTTTTTTTTTTTTAAACCCAGGGCAAGCCTGTTGCTTCTTTTCCTTCTTTCTTTTTTTTAATTTTAAAAATTTTCCTTCATTTTATTTTTACTTTAAAAAAATTTGTATTTATTAATTCCATAATTAACAGCGCTGTATTATTTTTGGGGATGTATCAGTTCAGCAATCCCATACATTACTTAGAGCTCATCACCCTAAGTGTCCTCTTTATCCCCTTCACCTTTTTCACCCACCCCCACCCCCCACCTCCCCTCTGGCAACCACCAGTCTGTGGCCAGACCACCCTGAATGCGCCGAGTCTCACCCGTTGCTTCTTAACCGAGGGTCTTAGGTAGTAAGAGAACGAGCAGTATCCCAGAGTTACCTGGGAGTCTCTGGATATGTTGCAAAGTGGGTCCAAACCACATGCTGGTGGAGACAATGCGTCCCGCGCGGGAGGAGGCCTACAGAGAGCTCTAGAACATGCACGCCTGTACCCAGTGCTTCTGAACTTGCCTAACACCGCTCAGCTTTCACACGCTAGTGCTGGAGTAGCTAAGCTTCCTCACACTAGCTCCCCGACCCACGCAAACCGAAGAGGAAGTAAATCCTGCCCACACCTGAAAGCTTCCTGTGACCGGAAGTGGCCGTTAATTTCATTCTGCACCCCTTCCCACTTCCTTGCACACAAGAGGCGTGCGTAGCAAATTGGGAGGCGCCGGGTACGGGATTTCCATTTTCCTTGGGCGCTCCCAGCGTTGGTGGTCGCATGGACGTCCTGCGCCCACCTAGCGGGGCTGCTTGTTTGGCCGCAGAGTCCGCTTCTAGCCGCCTTCCTGTCACCGTCTGCCCCTCCTGCCGGCCCCGTCACCTCCCTGGTAAGTCGCCCCCGTCCCCTCTCCCCGCAGCTGGTCCGGGACAACGCCGACCTGCGCTGCGAGCTGCCCAAGCTGGAGAAGCGGCTGCGCGCCACGGCGGAGCGCGTCAAGGCCCTGGAGAGCGCACTGAAGGAGGCCAAGGAGAACGCCATGCGGGACCGCAAGCGCTACCAGCAGGAGGTGGATCGCATCAAGGAGGCCGTGCGAGCCAAGAATATGGCCAGGAGGGCCCACTCGGCCCAGATCGGTATGTGTGCCTCTCACGCCCCTCCTGGAAGGCAGGGCTCTGCTGCTCTGGGCTGTGTGCTCTGGAACATCTGGCAGGCTATAGTCAGGCCCGCGGCAGCTGGGCTAGCCGGCGCCTCCAGGCACCCTGCATTCCCCCGGGAGACGGGCAGTGTCAGGCACCTGCTTCCTTATCCTGAGAGGTTGCAGCAGACACGTTGTGGTCTTCAGAGCTGCTGAGCTGAGCAGAGAAGGTGGCCAACTTAGGCTGTCAGCTAAAGGTATTTGGCTGTAAACGGAGGTATGTTCTCACAAGCACTAGAATATTTGGCTGTTTCTCAGTGAGGCCCAAAGGCCCCTTCTGTTCTGTACTAAGCAGAACGGGAAGGGGCGGGGTGTAGCTGGAAGCCTCAGGGAGAGCCACTTGCAAGGGCACGTTTGGAAGCACCTTGGAAAGAGCTAGGCTGGCCTCCGTGTGCAGGGTGTGGATCCCAGGTGGGAAAGAGGCCTGGACGTTCAGCCCCTGCCAGACCTGGATTTGGGCATTTTGCCTGAGCTGGGAATGGGGGTGTAGCTGCTAAGTCATAGTTCCCAGGATGGAGCCACAGGCGGTAAAGAGATTTAGGAATGTTCTCTAGAGAGCTTTTATTTTTTAAACTGAAATGCCTCCAATAACATGTGATATTATTTCCCATCAGATAATGCTGTGCAGATGTTTTGTAAACCAACAACTTCATGTTTCTAGTTTTTAGATCATACCTTAGATTAATGTTTCATTGCATTTATTGGATTTCTTGCTCTTTGTAAATCTGGAAACTAGAAAGCTTCTTCCCAGAGAAGTGCATCATAGGCAGAAACCTGCACCCAGTTTCAGGGGCTACGCAGATGCCCTTGGAATCCAAATGTTCCCTATGGATCGGCCTCAAAGAAAATTGGAAGTCCTTCTAATTTTCCTCAGCCAGAATTAAAGTAATTGCTATATAAGTTCTCTCTGTCCCCTAACCACTGGGTGCCCTGGATTAGCTAACTGTACTGTCTGGGAGTGCAGACATCCTGTTTTCAGAAAGGTCTGATGCTTGATGAGAATTGTAACGATAAAAATTGTGTGTCTTGGTTTTCACATGTGACCCGTGGGCATGTGGGTGTGGCCATTTAAGCCCAGTCTGAATGCTCTGTCCTTTCTGTCGGATACAGCCAAGCCCATCCGCCCTGGACACTACCCAGCATCGTCTCCGACGGCCGTCCACACCATCCGAGGGGGAGGAGGCAGCTCTTCAAACGCCACTCACTACCAGAAATAAATACGAAGTGAGTCCCTGGTGTCAGGGGTGGTTTCTGTCCTGGGCAGCCCTGGGGCAGATCCCTGGCCCTGCCTGGTTCTCATCCGTCTGCATGTGCCCCTCCAAGAGTGAGCAGTTTAGCTCTTCTGGAACAGGCCTTAGGGGTGTAGCTTACCTACACTCAACTCAGTGCAGAGCCTCAGGGTCATCTCGCTAGGGCCACCTGGCGCTGGGGACACTCCAGGGATGGATGAGGGTGTGGCGAATGATTCACCTGAGCTTGCTTCTGTCTGTGGGACTTCCCTGTGTCGCTGGCTTCCAGAAGGGCATTACCTGTTCGTCAACTGCTTTCGCTCAGAGCAGATAGATGTGGGTGGTTGCGTTAAGTTCCAGGAACTGACTCTAAAGAAAGAGCCAGATATAGAAAGTCATATTTTTGTAATTGCTTTCTGAGCTCAACAAACGGGTTTTTAAGAATCGTGCTAATTTATATCTAGGTAGGTCAGGACCACTTTTTTCTTTGAGACAGCGGTTTATAAATTTCTCTTCCTACAATCTGCATGTGTGATTCTGCTCTACCAGCAAACAAAGAAACAAAAAGGGATACACTTTAGAAAAGAGAAGGAGAGAGCACAAACTGTCCTTTTGTACTTGAGATGGAGAAAAGAGGTTACTCGTTGGGCAGGGCAGACAGACAACTCGGTGGCCAGAAAACTGTTCAGGAAAACTCTTGACTTTGCACCAGTAACCTGTGGGCGGGAGGGGGGAGCTCCAAATGCTGTCCTTGGGCTCTGAGCCCTCACTGAGGAAGCTAGCTTACAGGATGGGCCGGCCGGCGTGGCAAAGCCAACTCCGGAGAGCACAGAGTCCTCTCCTGTCCTTTCCGATCAAGGTACAGGACGTGAATGTGAGGGGCTGGAGCCCTCTCTCGGGATATGACAACACTGCGAAGGCTCACGCCAAAACTGCCAAGGAGGAAGCTTGGCGCCTGCCCCCAGACGGCCCTGTCCTGTGCTGCCCCAGGCAGCATGCCAACGAGCGGGACAGGCACAGGTCAGATTAGGGAACAGGAGGGAAGGCCGAGGCAGCCCGAGGGCGGGCAGCATGTCCACCGCCATCTGCCGTGTCCTGAAAGGGTGGATGGGAAATGGTCTTGGCAGCGGGCCACCCCCATTCAGATCCGATCGCTTTCCCTTACAGATAAAATAATTTGGGTGTCAGAAAATTGTCGTCGGTGTTGGGGCTGGCCCTCAAAGGGAACTGTAAGCTCCTGTGAGGCAACGTAGGATAGAAACCTAAAGCCGTGGTTCTGGAACTTGGGTGGGTGTTAGTATCACTTGGCACCCGGAAGGCTTCGTGAAGTAGTGTCGTGCCTGAGCCTTTGTGTGTGTACCGAGTACCCCCGGCGATTTCGTTAGCCACCAAAGTTCGGGGACTCCTATCCTGAAGGAACTGTGGCGTCTCTAGGGCGGAAGTGGATTTCTCTGTCGTGTGAAGGAAATTTGAGGGTGGTCTGTCAGTGGCTGGTAAAGCGACTCTGTAGTGACAGCAGAAAGCTCGCCTTTTAAGTGTAGATCCCCTGTCCTCAGCAAGTACCTTCCTTCCTCAAGGTCACCTCAGTGACTTCTACTCTTCTAGCTTTCGTGCTTACACACCATGGTCAGCAAGCAGAGAGGAAGCCGGGAAGAGGCAAAAGCAGCTTCTCAGCTGAATCCGCGTCCTCTCATGGCCCTCCTGGAAGTCCATATAGTGCGGATGCCTGGTCCCTCCGGCCAGATCTGAGGCACGTGGCCGTGTCCAGCTGCAAGGGGCTGGAAAGCGGCCGCTTTGAGCTAGGCACATCACTGCCCCACGAAAGAGTAGTGTTCTTTATTTTTAATTTATTTTTAAAGACTTTAATTCTTTATTTGAGAGAGAGAGAGAGAGAAAGAGCAGGGGCAGAGGGAGAGGGAGAAGCAGACTTCCCGCTGAGCAGGGAGCCTGATGTGGGGCTCCATCCCAGGACTCTGGGATCATGACCCGAGCCAAAAGCAGGTGCTTAACCGACTGAGCCAGCCAGGCGCCCAAGAGTACTGTTCCTTAGCTGAAGACGAGGGGGTGGATGCTGGGGGGGCAACCAGAGCCTGCGCTGACTGAGCACCTACTATGCAGCTACGTTACCCCCTTCCATGTAACCTCGCAGAGCGGTGGCTGTGCTTGGCTCCCGGCAAGCCCTCAATATGTACACTGGCCCAGGGATTCTGGGGTCCAGAGACTGTGCAGTGGACAGCCACTTTCCACATGCGATCCCATAAAGGTCTGTCGACCCACGTTTTGTGTAAGCTTCATACGACCCAGTGTTCCCTTGTCACACTTGAGATTGAGAAGCAGTGGGTCTGCTGAGACTTTTAAGACCTTCAGACTAACAGAACCACCCTCACCCATCCTGGTGGCCCATTGCTTCAACTTGAAGTGTTATAAGTGGATTTGATTATTTTACTGCAGTTAGAGCCCCCTTGACCCACTCTCTCCGTGCACATAACTCCTGTAGCTGGGCCGTTCCCCACGTCACAAAACAAATGGGCCCCTTTCTGGTTATCAGGATGGCGGTGTGGTAGAGAGGCCTGGCTTAGGACAGGAGACCTGGGTCAGGTGTTAGTTGGGTCTTCTACTCTCTTTAAGTTACTTACCCTCAGAGTGGGCTTCTTTGTCTGTGAAATGGGGAGAATCCTTTCCCTGGACCATTGGTTTTGAAATGAGGACTGACTGAGGTCACGCTTCTAAGCTGCTTGGCATCTAACAAGTGCTCCATAAAAACGTCACTGCTGTATAGAGTAGCAGTGCGCTACTTGGCACACAGTAGGTGATGGATGAATGTTGGCTTCTAGTCTCCTTGTTACAAAATAGTTTTTAGTCCCTCTCTAGCCCTAAATTCTAACCACTGAGTGCAGAAGGCCCATGACTGAGTATCCTATTTGATGCTATGACCAGATATAAGGTGTTTTAAAGTTATTATCCTTTATTCATCTAAAGGTTATGAATAAGAACATTGACTATTTTTAAGAAAAAGACTAGGTATTTGTCAGTGGAGGTTAAAAAAAAAGGATAGTAGCCAGTGAAGTGGGAAATTTTAACTGGGAGTGAGAAAATGCAAAATCATTTTTTAAGAAAAATAATTGGAGGGGCGCCTGGGTGGCTCAGTTGGTTAAGTGTCTGCCTTCGGCTCAGATCATGATCCCGGGGTCCTGGGATCGAGCCACACATCAGGCTCCTTACTCAGTGGGGAGTCTGCTTCTCTCTCTCCCTCTGCTCTTCCCCCCACTCATGCTCTCTCGCTTTCGCTCAAATAAATAAATAAAATCTTTTTAAAAAAATGATTGGAAATGTGGAATTCATTGCTTAGTTGGGATCAAAACCTTTTGAGGTCATCTTTCCTGATCTTTGAGATGCTCATTCTGAAGTGTGTCTTCCTAGGGAAAAATGATCTCAGCTGCTGACTCTTCTTCCCAGCCCTCTTATTGAAGCCAGAGCAGCATATTCATACTTGGGCAGCATTTGGATATCTTTGGGGTTTCTTTCTGCTTCATTTCAGGTTTCAAAGAATAGTCACAATGAGTATTTTGGTTTATGCTCAAAGTTTCAGAGCGACTAAAGGTGCCAACATGGAGAAATCAGAACTCAGGATACTGCTGGCTTCTATCTCAGCTAGGTCAAATCCAGGGGAGCTGCCAGGGGGAGGAGAACAAGTACCAACCACAGAGTGACTGGGGAAGAGTAGCACAGACACTGGCTGGAAGGTGGGGCTGGCTGGCGTTATTTGGGGAGTCAGGAAGGCTGATAGGGCTGGAGCCCAGAGAACACAGAGACCTTCATAATCAGGGTTGTTGGGAGGGAAGGAGGGGCCAGGTAAATGAGGCCTTTGAGCCGGGCCAGCAGCATAGAGTGCGATCTGAGTGTGTGGGGCCACTGGGGACTCTGGGCCTGGGAGTGGTGGGACCTGGTTCATGACTGGGAAAGGCCACCCTGTGCTGGACCCCATGGAAAGGATGGTGTGGGGGGGAGTCAGAGCAGGGGCTCCTCAGAGGCTCTTGCGGGGAGATAGATAATGTGGGAGACGGGAGAGTTACAGGCAGGGAGTACTGGCCGCCTGAGAGGAGCTGCAATCCGGAGCATAGGCGGAGGTGATGGGAAGGCGGAGGAGGAAGGACAGGTGCTGGTAGGTGGTAGATGGGGTGGCAGGGAGTTGGGATGGGTCTCATCTTAGTGCCTGTTTTCTTGTGCAAGAAGCCAGGTAAGCAGCAGGGAGGCAGGGAGATGGGGTTGCAGGCTGGAGAAGAGATAAGGTGTGAAGTAGACCTCTGAGGCAGTACTGAGTGCTTATTCATGGCCCCACATTCAATGCAGACATCATTTAGATATCTCGTCTGGCTCCCTGGCTCTGCGGGCCCTGCGGTGGGACTTCCTTCCAGGTAGTGCTTTGACTAGCCGCTGGCTGCTTGTTCAAGTGTGTCCACCAGATGGCGCCAGTGGGGCACCGCTGGAACCTCACTATTTTCTAAAAGGCTTTGAGGCAAAAGGGTCTTTTGACTCTCCTTTATTTAGGCCATTATTTCTCGGATTTGAATAGTAAATACAGTACTTTTCAGGGGATAAAGTTCTCATATTACTCAGAGGTTTTTTTTTTTTAATTAGGTATTTGCAAATTTACAACAGCATATACTTAGATCTTACATAACTATCAAGTCAAAACAAATTTAGAAGTCAGATTGAAATGAACCATAAACCAAAATCAAATTACCAACCTTAACAGAAGTTAATGAAAGATGGCTTTTCTCTGAAAAGAGCTGGGTGCAGTGTGATTCTGGGATGTGTTGCTTCTAGGAGAGTCTGGCTTACCTGTGTTGCTTCTGTGTGCCATGGCAGGGCTCACTTCTTTCGTTCCCTTTCTGTGTGAAAACCACTGCGGAGGGGCACCTAGCTGGCTCATTCGGTAGAGCATGTGAGTCTTGACCTTGGGGTTGTAAATTTGAGCCCCATGTTGGGTGTAGAGATTACTTAAAAATAAAGTCTTGAAAAAAGAAAAGAGAAAGAAAGAGAAACACAGCAGAATCACTGCATACCTTCAAGCTGTTTTGTCATCTTGTGGCTGGAACCCATCATTGTCCTGCTGCGTCCAACTTTAGCTGAAGGATATTTAAGTTGTGAGGGGTAGTGTCCACTTGGTCGTAGCATAAAGCGTGTGTGGGGCTGAAGTTGCATGGGAATGCTTGGTTGCAAGGTAGTCAGCTAGATAATCTAGAATACCCACATATTTTTTTAAAAGATTTGTTTATTTATTTGAGAGAGAGTGTGGGTGGAAGGGGAAGAGGGAGAGAGAGAGAGAGAAGCGACTCCCTGCTGGGGAGAGTCTGATGCGGGGCTCCATCTCACAACGCTGAGATCGTGACCTGAGCCAAAATCTAGAGTCAAATGCTTACCTGCTTAACCAACTGAGCCACCCAGGCACCCCTAGAATATGCACATATTAATGCTTTCGATTTTTGTGGAAAGAAAAACATAGAATTAAAAATACTGTGAAATAAATGAAATGCCCAGGATGCCTCTCACTTTGTTGATGTAGGTAAAGACTCTGATATTTTGAGGACTGTACTTTTATTAAAAAACCATATATATTAAGTCTAGAAATCATAGCCTATAAAGTTTTGGGGTGCCTGAGTGGCTCAGTTGGTTGGGCATCCAGCTCGGTTTTGCCTCAGGTTATGATCTCAGCGTCCTGGGGTTGAGCCCCACGTCAGGCTCCACACTCCGCTTGGAGTCTGTTTGTCCCTCTCCCTCTGCCCTCCCCACCCCATCTCAAATAAATAAATAAATAAAATATTTTTAAAAATTAAGTTTTAATAAACTTGGATAAAACATTTGGTAAAATCACAGTGGTAGAGCCAATAGGAACTCATTAGGGCTCTTACAGAAGAAGCAATTCCATGTTTTTAGACTATGATTTCATGCTTTGAGGCATAAAGAAAACAGCCCTAGAAAAAGCATGTCTGCGATTTATAGCAGGGTCACATGGGTGAATGCAACTACAAAGAGCCATCCAAGCAGACCAGGTGTTCTGTTATGACCTCTGATTTATGTGACATTCCCTGGATCAGTGACAGTCACTGTAGGATGGCTCTGTCTTCAGGTTTTACTACCTTAAGACCTTTATTGTGAATATATCTGTTAGTTGTTAGTAAAAATAATACCTTTACATTCTTAAGTGGTGTGCTGGAAGCAGACACAGAACACAGATCTCCAGGCTTTCACGACTGGTCCCTTTTGCTGCCATAAGGTCATCTGTGACTGAGGCCCTGAAATCCTGGACCCTATGTGTCCTGTGTGCCTGTCATAGTCAGGGTCTTTGGGCTTGGCCCAGACATTTGGAATGCACAAATGGTTTTCTACTCTTAAGTCTTGTCACAGGGGCGCCTGGGTGGCTCAGTGGGTTAAGCGTCTGCCTTCGGCTCAGGTCATGATCCCGGGGTCCTTGCTTCTCCCTCTCCCTCTACCTGTAGCTCCCCTTGCTTGTGCTCACACTCTCTGTCAAATAAATAAAAAAAAATCTTAAAAAAAAAAAAAAAAGCTTACTTGTTGCTTAACTGTCA